CTCAGCAGCCCTCGAAAGTGGCGACAGTTTCACAGATCGCAGCCCCCCAGGGATGGCGAGGTCTAATTGAGTCTGCGGTGAGTACCCACTGTGCTGGGCCCCCCAGCAGGCCTCGAAAGTGGCGACAGTTTCACAGATCGCAGCCCCCCAGGGATGGCGAGGTCTAATTTGAGTCTGCGGTGAGTACCCACTGTGCTGGGCCCCTCAGCAGCCCTCGAAAGTGGCGACAGTTTCACAGATCGCAGCCCCCCAGGGATGGCGAGGTCTAATTTGAGTCTGCGGTGGCCCACTGTGCTGGGCCCCTCAGCAGGCCTCGAAAGTGGCGACAGTTTCACAGATCGCAGCCCCCCAGGGATGGCGAGGTCTAATTTGAGTCTGCGGTGGGTACCCACTGTGCTGGCCCCCCCAGCAGGCCTCGAAAGTGGCGACAGTTTCACAGATCGCAGCCCCCCAGGGACGGCGAGGTCTAATTTGAGTCTGCGGTGAGTACCCACTGTGCTGGGCCCCTCAGCAGCCCTCGAAAGTGGCAACAGTTTCACAGATCGCAGCCCCCCAGGGATGGCGAGGTCTAGTCTGAGTCTGCGGTGAGTACCCACTGTGCTGTGCCCCTCAGCAACCCTCGAAAGTGGCGACAATTTCGCAGATCGCAGCCCCCCAGGGACGGCGAGGTCCCGCTCATGTCCGCGCGGTGCCTCACTCTGCAGGACCCACCAGCAGCCCTCGAAAGTGGCGACAGTCTCGCAGATCGCAGCCCCCCAGGGACGGCGAGGTCCCGCTCAGGTCCGCGCGGTGCTTCACTCTGCAGGACCCACCAGCAGCCCTCGAAAGTGGCGACAGTCTCGCAGATCGCAGCCCCCCAGGGGCGGCGAGGTCCCGCTCAGGTCCGCGCGGCGCCTCACCCCGCAGGACCCACCAGCAGCCCTCGAAAGTGGCGACAATTTCGCAGATCGCCCCCCCCAGGGACGGCGAGGTCCCGCTCAGGTCCGCGCGGCGCCCCACTCCGCAGGACCCACCAGCAGCTCCCGAAAGTGGCGACACTTTCGCAGATCGCAGCCCCCCAGGGACGGCGAGGTCTCGTTTGGGTCCGCGGTGGGTACCCTCTCTGCTGGCCTCCCCAGCAGCCCTCGAAAGTGGCGACAGTTTCGCAGATCGCACCCCCCCCAGGGACGGCGAGGTCCCGTTTGGGTCCGCGGTGAGTGCCCTCTCCGCTGGCCTCCCCAGCAGCCCTCGAAAGTGGCGACAGTCTCGCAGATCGCAGCCCCCCAGGGACGGCGAGGTCCCGTTTGGGTCCGCGGTGAGTGCCCTCTCCGCTGGCCTCCCCAGCAGCCCTCGAAACTGGCGACAATTTCGCAGATCGCAGCCCCCCAGGGACGGCGAGGTCTCGTTTGGGTCCGCGGTGAGTGCCCTCTCCGCTGGCCTCCCCAGCAGCCCTCGAAAGTGGCGACAGTTTCGCAGATCGCAGCCCCCCAGGGATGGCGAGGTCAAAGGCAGGGGGGAAGAGAGGGACGGGAAGGAAGGAAGGAAGGTTCGCGCGAGCAGTGCTCTATTCAAAACGAGAACCCAACGCAGGAGGGTTGGGAAATCATGTGTACACATCTATACGCGGAGAGGGCGGAACTCTTCAAGATCGCAGCTGGGGGAGAGAATAGAGCAATACGCATACTGCGTATCCGACACGTGCCTCGATGCACGACATGGAGTGTCCTCAGGTCCTTCTGCATTATCTGTATTGCGTTATGTAACAATGATTTCAGGGACCCACACCCCGGAGTTCCGGGCGTTCTCGGTCGCTCCTGGGCGCTCTCGGGGGTTCCCCGCGGGACTTTTCGAGAGGCCAAGAGCGCGTTCTTCGGAACCTGCATGTCCACCCTGGTTTGAGATGGTATGGCTTGAGATGGTCCTAAGGGACCGTCCTGGAGCCCTCCTGGGCGCCTCTTGGGCCGTCGCGGAGGCCCTTGAGGGCGGCCCAAGAGGTCCAAATCGTCAACATCCATTGGTTTTGGCGCGGGATTCGCATTACCGCCTTGTCGGTCTTCAGAGCGTCCAAGACGGCCCAGGAGGCGCCCAAGATCGCCCCCAAACGGCCTCAGAGCCCCCAAGAGGCGCCCAAGAGGCTCCCACGGCCCCAAGAGGGGCCGAAGATGTGGAACACGAACTGGCATTTTGAGCCCTCCGCCCCAAGAGGGCCCCAGGGCCCCAAGATCCCCATGCAAGCCCCCCGAGGTGCGCCAAAGAGGCCCCAACCGAGAGGCCCCGAGAGACTCCAATCAGGCCTCAAAGACGCCCCCAACCCCCCTGAAAACGCCTCCAAGAGCCACCCGAGAGGCCTCCCCATAGATCCTCACATGCATCCAGGAAGCCTCTGACCTAAAATCCTGAACTCACTGGTCTATGCTGCGCATCCGCCGCATCCCCTGGGTCACGTACAGTGCTCTAGTGGAACACCAGCGTGCCCAGCAATTGCTAAGGGGTCTGGGCAGCACTGCCGAAACTCCACTTACTGGCGCCAACCCTCCAGAGGTCGGCTCCGCGATTATGTGAACAACTTCCAGCGCCGCGATTCGATCGACAAGGGCCTCATTGCCATAATCGCCAGGACCGTCGCGAAAGTCAGATCGCTGTGGAACTCCACCAACAGGGTGAGCCAATCAAACACATCTGAATGACCCGCTGTGTACTGGTGTCCACGGTCGACCTACATGTGAATGTTCGCAATCGTGATTGAAAGTTTGAGATGGGCGAGCAACATAGTGAGGCGAACCACCCACAGCATGGGCAACAATAACACTTGCCACTCCCTCTTACAGGGACCTCTGGCTTAGCAGCGGCAGCTCGCTGAAATGAACATGGTTATGAATCCGCCGGCGCCCTTGTGGGGCCACCAGGCTCTAGGACGAAGTTGCTGTCCCTGCACCAGTTGCAGTTCAAGTCTCCAGTGTTACAGTCCTGCCGTCTGCTTCCTACTGTAAATTGCTGAAGTCCGCGCGAGGGGGGGAGCCCCAAACCGCCCAATTCACCACGCCCGGATCGGGTGCTCTGAATTCCCGGGGGGGCGTGGGACACGTACAAATACATGAGATTCGCGCCCCCGAAGCCACACTCCCTCGTAAATTGCGCAATGTTCTCGTCCCCGAGGCCACAAGCCATGGTAAATTATACAATCCTTGCGTCCCCGAAACAACACACCCTCGTACATTGCAGTACGCGACATTCGCGTCCCCGAAACCATACACCTTCGCAAATTAAACAATGTTCGCATTGCCGCGGCCAAGAGTGCTCCAAGGCGTCCGAGGATGGTTCCAAGACGGCCCAAGACGGCCCCAAGAGGCCCCAAGAGCGCTCCAAGAGGCCTCCCGAGAGAGCCCCAAGAGGTCAACCCCGTCGACTTTACGCAGATGTTTGAAGGATGTTGGCCTTCTCGCGTGTTCGGCTTTCCGACGCTCCGACACGGCCAAAGAAGCTCCCAAGATCGCCCCAAGACAGTTGAAGAGGCCTCCAAGAGGACCCAAGACGGCCCAAGAGGGCCCCCAGACGGACCCAAGAGGGGCCAAGCAGGGGACCACGAACCGAAAATTCTAAATGTGTGACCCGAGAAGCCCCCCAGGAGGACCCAAGAGGCCGCCAAGAGGCCCCAAGAGGCCCCCTAAAAAGCGCCCAAACCGCTTCCAAGAAGTCCCCGAGAGGCTCCCACAACACCTCAACACATACACAAGAGGCCTCGGACCCACAACCCAGGCAGGGCGGCCGGATGGGCCGAAGGCCACTAGGATCCGCCGCCCCCTGTTGATTCATCACAGGGGTGCGCATTTGCGCCACCAGAGGCCCCCAAGGTCGCCCCAAGATCGCCCAAGAGGAATCCAAAATGGCCCCGTGACGGCCCACGAGACCCCCAAGACGGCCCCAAGAGGGCGCCAAGACGGCCCAAGAGGCCTCGAAGACGCTCAAGATGGCCTCTAAGACGGCCCTGGAGCACCCCAAGAGGGCCCCAAGTCGGCCCAGAAAGGCCCCCGAAACTGCTTCCGACGGCGTCCGACGGGCCAGTAGCTCACCAAGATGGCCGAAGATGGCTCGCAGCTTGCCCAAGACGGCCCAAGAGGCCTCCAAGAGGGCCTCCAGGAAGGCCCACAAAATGCCAAAAAGAGTCATTATCCTAAGGTTTTTGCAGGATTTTGACATTTCCTTCGTTTCGGCCTTCCGACGGCCCGATACGGCCCAAGAGCTCCCAAATATCGCCCCAATATCGCCCAAGGA